AAGTAACAGGCACCAAAGAAGTTATACCACCATAGAAAAGGAGGCTCTTGCTTTAGTGTTGGCAGTGCAACATTTTGAGGTGAATATATCATCATCAGTTCACCCTATAACTGTGTATAGTGACCATAATCATTTATGTTTCCTTCACTTAATGAAGAACCACAATCAGAGACTTACAAGGTGGGTCTTGTTTCTCCAACCTCTTAATCTTGTGATTCATTATGTGAAGGGAGCGGAGAATGTGGTTGCTGATGCCTTGTCTCGTGTTTAAAGTGCACGATATCATGTACAGATCACTTATCTATTCTTATTTTGCAGTGATTTGCGGTAGACAAGTAGATGGAACCCTAGACCACCCAGGGGAGAAGGGCAGGGTGAGTTAGAGCTGGAGGTATCAGGATTCCCTAGAGTGTGTGTGTGTGTTTTGGGGGTAGTCACATCAAGTGCCATGCCTAGGTAAGGTATGCTACTTTTTTTTAGGTGTTGGCTGGAATGCCTCGCCTCTGTTTTATGTTGGCATAGGGACTGTTGGACCTAACGTTTTAGGGAATGTGGGGCTGGCGGTGATGCCCTCCACAGTTTGGGTGTTTTGGTTCTCCAGGGCTCTTTTCAATTTTTCCTTTTTGGATCACCGCTGGGGTGACTCCAGGGTCCTTGGAATGACATGTAGGTGTTGGCCTGGGAGGTCCACCTTCTGGGGGTCTTCAGTGATGACTCCAGGGTTTTACGGCCACAGTTCCACCAACAAGATTTATGTGACTATCCACCCGTTGTTTTTGGGGCCTGATATTTTTCCCCCCTCCTGTGCTCTCCTGATTCTCGCAGAGGTGTCATGGGGAACCAGTTTTGTTTACTAAAGATTGCTGTGAGATGGGAGTGATAATGTGATGTTGCTTTCTAAGTAGAATTTAACATGTAAAATCTGTTTTTCTTTTCTTTGAACTACTCCTGGAAAATGTACTTACTGTTTAAAAATTTTTTTTGGTGGCACATAAAGTTTGGTCTGCCTTGCAACATACTGAACTCTGGTGTTACTTCATAACACGGCATTCCTCAAGGGCACTTTTGTACAAAGTTAACTTGCTCGTTTATAAGTTTGCTTGATGTAATTTAGGTAAAATGCATCAACGCCAGTGCCTGGCCAGCGCTGTGTTGTGATGGTGCCTTTTCCTAACACAGTTGTCTAAGAGTGTGACTGTGGGCTCCTTTGGCATAGAATTTGATCACTTTTATGTTCGGCGAGTTTCACATGTCTATAATTTCCTCACTAACAGAACACAGAGAGTAGTCGTCAACAGAGTAAAGTCCGAGACAGCTACGGTGAAAAGCTCTGTTCCACAAGGCACAGTACTCGCTCCCATCTTGTTCCTCATCCTTATATCCGACATAGACAAGGATGTCAGCCACAGCACCGTGTCTTCCTTTGCAGATGACACCCGAATCTGCATGACAGTGTCTTCCATTGCAGACACTGCAAAGCTCCAGGCAGACATCAACCAAATCTTTCAGTGGGCTGCAGAAAACAATATGAAGTTCAACGATGAGAAATTTCAATTACTCAGATATGGTAAACATGAGGAAATTAAATCGTCATCAGAGTACAAAACAAATTCGGGCCACAAAATAGAGCGAAACACCAACGTCAAAGACCTGGGAGTGATCATGTCGGAGGATCTCACCTTCAAGGACCATAACATTGTATCAATCGCATCTGCTAGAAAAATGACAGGATGGATAATGAGAACCTTCAAAACTAGGGAGGCCAAGCCCATGATGACACTCTTCAGGTCACTTGTTCTATCTAGGCTGGAATATTGCTGCACACTAACAGCACCTTTCAAGGCAGGTGAAATTGCCGACCTAGAAAATGTACAGAGAACTTTCACGGCACGCATAACGGAGATAAAACACCTCAATTATTGGGAGCGCTTGAGGTTCCTAAACCTGTATTCCCTGGAACGCAGGAGGGAGAGATACATGATTATATACACCTGGAAAATCCTAGAGGGACTAGTACCGAACTTGCACACGAAAATCACTCATTACGAAAGCAAAAGACTTGGCAGACGATGCACCATCCCCCCAATGAAAAGCAGGGGTGTCACTAGCACGTTAAGAGACCATACAATAAGTGTCAGGGGCCCGAGACTGTTCAACTGCCTCCCAGCACACATAAGGGGGATTACCAACAGACCCCTGGCAGTCTTCAAGCTGCCACTGGACAAGCACCTAAAGTCAGTTCCGGATCAGCCGGGCTGTAGCTCGTATGTTGGTTTGCGTGCAGCCAGCAGCAACAGCCAGGTTGATCAGGCTGTGATCCACCAGGAGGCCTGGTCTCAGACCGGGCCGCGGGGGCGTTGACCCCCGGAACTCTCTCCAGGTAAACTCCAGGTAAACTCCAGTCTAGTACCTCAGTTTGTTAATATTTCATATTTGTAGTACCAAAAGACCATGATTGTATGGTGGTCATTCCCCAGTTATCATTTTGCCTGTTGCCTCAGACCTTAATGTGGGGTTTATTTTCTTTTTTTCCCTTTTGCCTAGCGGTGTCCGTAGGGACCCCACTAGCAGAGTGAGACCTATGGTCTGGGGGTGGGGGTGTTATGCAGGGTTCTGCATGACATTGTAATGAACATATAGTGGAGAAATGTGCCATAATAGTATGAATGTTATAATTGTAAAGAATAATTTTATAATTCATAATGTGCATTTGGGGGCACTGTAAAGCACTCTAACTGTAATTATAAAGAAATCCTCCTAGGGATTTATTTTCCAAGGGTGTTTGGGTACGCGGAGTGAGCGTGGCTGGGGCGGTCACGTGGAGTCAGCATGGTGTGGAGGCTGGTGTTGGAGCTGCTGTGTGTTTAAGCCAAGTTTGTAGTTGTATACTCCTTTTGTTTAACCAACTCAAGCCATAGGCTCTTCTATGGCTTACCTGTATGTTCACCTAGGCTCTGACATGGTCAGGGTGCTGTGGGATGAGTGGGGAAATAAGAAATGGGGTTTGTAGTGGAGTAGTGATGGCCTGGCGCTGACTCGGCCTAGTGGTTATGGTGGCTGGACCTCCAGCCAGCTGTTTCTTGTGTACCCTCATTTGGGCGTTTAGGATTAAGGTGTGTCTAGAGTGTGTATATAATGTTATGTTGAATAAATAGATATATTTTCTAACTGGGATTTTTGCCTAACCCTCTGTTAACCAACCCATTGAAGTAACACATACTGGTTTAGCGCCTTCTGTTTTGACTGGGATAGCCCTGGGTGGCCTGTTTATGCTTGAGATGTGTGTAACTTTTACCTTTGCCCTTAGACAAGGCTCAAGCCCCCAGCTATCCCACATTTCTGCGTAACACTTAAGGTATACCTCTGCCCTCCACAGGGACTCCACGGGACATTTGATGAATTGGAATGAAGCACAGCTCGTCCTCACAGTACAAGATCTAAGACGCCAATGATGTCTGGAAGCCTCTCTAATCGCCATCACCTACACTATAGAATATAATTAGCATACATGATACTCAACCAGGCAAAGCACCACCTGCCTAACAACACAGGAGTCACATGGCACCATTGTCTACCTGTCATCATCCCAATATGGCATTCTTCAGGTCAACATGTGTCACTCACTCCACTTTCCGCTTATATATACTGTCATTATTGCCTCTGTGTCACCAGATGGAGTATTAAAGAGAATACAGTACACCGAGTACACTACCCTCTCACGAGATAGGCACATGGTTTCTGCCGAAAGGATAAGATCACGATGTTCCACGGACATGACGGAGGACTCGGATTTGGAAACGTGGGGCGCAATTCCAACAAAGGAGTTGCGAGACCACTCCATGTCATCAGAGGAAAAGAAGAGCCTGCTCACATTGTAGTAGATCTGACAGCTCCAGCCATGGAGCCAGCGAATATGGAAACGGGGGAGGGAATAAACACCCCGCCCCCCGTGAACCAAGAAAGATGGGTCACTGTGGACAACAAGAAGAAGCACCGTCCGTCCAAGGAGCAGGTAAACCAGCTAAACCGACCTGGCAAATTCAAGGTGAATTTGATCTTATGGGGAGCACAGACCCCGTTATGGCGTGATTTTACACTCGAAATCATGGCACAACTTGAGGTTCAAGATATGGTTCAACCTGAGGGAGAACCAATACTGACTCCTCTCAACAGGGAAATGTACACCACCTTGAAGAGAGTCATGGAGACAGACAGCTCCTTCACCTGGAGGAACTGGATTCTCGACAGAAGATCACTAAGGGTGTAGTGATGCGGTACCTGCTGATGCCCATCGATGCAGTAGCAGCTCACCCCAGTGTGGTGTCAGCTCAGCGTCTCAAGGCAAAGACAGCAGACAATGCACCAACCTGGCATGTCCTCATACAGCATGCAGAACCGCTGCCATCCCAGCTGGACCTCGGTTCTTGGGGTAGGTACGATGTCAGGTCCTTCATGGCAGAGCCAGTTCGCTGTATCAAGTGCCAGTGTTATGGACACCTGGGTGTACTCTGTCCAGACAGAGTACCATGCAGTGTCTGCAGCCAGCGCCACCCTTCCGAGGACTGCATCACCAAGCTGAAAAATGCATCGCCACCTACTCCTCAATGCCCGAACTGCAGACAGAAACACAATGCCTGGAACCCTCGATGTCCCGAAAGGCTCGCCAGAATTCATGGGGCCTGAGAGATGCCAACAACTCAGCAGCAGCTACAGCAGAGCATCACCCTCAGCAGACGATGGGTGCAGAGAACCCTGCCATACCGCAGAACTCTCATCAGGTTACCCAACTCAATGCTGAGGAATTCCCGACCCTCGAAACTTGAACCAGGCATCATGGACAGGAGCCTCCTGCCCCCCTACCTCAACAAAGAAACCAAACCAAAAGGAACAAGCAGCGTCAACAGGGAGCATCTGGTCAACGCGATCAGTAGACGGCACTACACAAGCCCCCACCGGTCATAACACAGCAACACAGTCCCTCCTTGCCCAGTACAGCCGCTATGCAGGCTTCCCTGGTTATGTCTGCACCTCACCAGCAGTTGCCGGCTACCCAACTTGGCACACAGCAACAGGCCACGGTGCGCACAATGAAGAAATCCAACCCTCAGCAGCCCCAACAGACCACAACAGCCCAGGTAATATCCACTGCTTTGAACCTAATACCAATGCAGGCCCTCACCAGGAAAGATCTCGTAGCACTCATCAAGGCATTCACGGATATTATTTACAACACAATCATCTCCACAGAATAACAGAGCATATTCTGGCAGATGGTTAGCACACTCCTGAGGGTGTGCTTACTGACCGAGGAGGAGACGGTGGATGCCATGAATTTGCAGGTTCTCAGAGCGGAGAGAGCTCAGTCCCCAGCTCATGAAAGAGCAGCAATGGAATAACTTCTGTACCAAATCACACCCTCAAGGTCCTACAATGGAACATTATGGGCCTGAGGGGCAAACAGCACCTCTTGCTGGAGGTAGTAATTCAGGATCGGGTTGATATCGTCTTGCTACAAGAAACCCTGACTGTCCAACTATGTGCCCAAGATTCCCCGGTTTTGCTGGGTATTTTCGACACATGGACGTCGACATTCACTGCAGAGGCACAGCTGTATTCGTATGCAATACTTCACGAGGTTATAGCCAACCCTATTACGAACTGTGGGGAGGAGGTACAATCCATCCTTGCACACATACCTGGGGCATCCATTACCATCTATAACATTTACAAGAACCCAAGACACCCTCAACATTGCAGAGCTCCTCGCGCTGGCACGCACTGAGTGTATTGTTGTGAGTGGAGACTTCAATGCGCATCACCCAATGCTGCACTCTCCCTCAGCAACCAATGCTGCACTCTTACTCAGCAACCAATGCTGCACTCTCACTCAGCAACCAATGCTGCCGGCAGACACCAAGCAATGCTCCTACACGATATCCCAGAGATAAAGCTGCTAAACAATGGAGATTCCACACACCTGTTGGGTGGTCGCCTCGACTTTACCGTCGGGACACGACAGCTCGCAGCGGGAGCCACATGGAAAATTCATTCTAACCTTGTCAGTGACCACTTTGCAGTAGTCACCACTTTCATCATCAATAGACATCCTAGATGGGAAGTAAAGAGGGTCAACTGGAAGGTGTTCCAGGATTATCTTCATGACTGGTGAGCCACATACACTCTATCCGAAGACTGTGATACGGCTGAACAGGAACTAATCACTGTTCTCGTCCAAGCAGCAGAGTGCGCAATTCCAAAGAAGTCCACAGGACACACAAAAGAGACTGGTGGTTCAACAACGACGAGGTGGGGGAGAAGAATCACCGCATCAACTCTTTTAGGAAGCTGTACAGGCATAACCCTACAGCAGAGAACAGGAATACTCTGAGAGCCATTATGCAGCATGCCCGCAGTCTCCCTCAGAGTAAAAACTGAGAAATGTCTGGAGTGGTCTTCAACATTCAGGCATCACACCACCTTATCTGAGATATGGGGCAAACTCAACATAGCAACTGGCAAAAGCAAGCCGAAGCCACCAGCACACCCGAACCCAGCCCAGGAACCTGAGAAACTGGTGGAGCTCTTCTCCTCCAGGGAAGCCTCCACTCAGCTCCCACAGGACATCCGGGATATACAGATGGATCTTCTGCCACAACGCTAGTTAACAATACAAGCTGCATGTGAGTCTGAAGATGTGACTGATGAAGACCTCACAGATTTGGAACTCCGACGTGCCATTAAAAACACAGGTGACACTGCCCCTGGCAACTATGGTGTTCCGTAACATGATTGCACTGGCTAGCCAGAGTGGACGGGAGGCCATACTAGACGTCATCAACAAGTCATGCAGGGCCGGGATATTCCCAGCAGCTTGGAAGAAGACCACCACTATACCAATTCTAAAGCCCAAGGACCCGGGCAATATGAGACCCATATCGCTGACCAGCTGTTTAGCCAAGACTGCTGAGATGATGGTGTTAAACCGCCTCCTATAGAAACTTGGACCACCGCATCATCATATATTTGGCTTCACAAAAGCAGTGGGTGCAGTAAAATGCATAACCACCCTACTAAGCCAGATTGCTGATAATAACAAGAAACCTAGTATCGTCGTCTACCTCGGCCTCGAGAAGGCATTTGAGCTAGCCAGCCCCACAGCAATTCTAGCAATACTAGCTCGGAAGGGGATCAAAGGACGCCTCCTGGCCTGGATGAGTCCTACCTCAGGGATAGGCAGGCCTTTGTCAGCTTCCTGGGACAATACTCTTCCTTTAAAACCCTGGAAAAAGGCACGCCACAAGGAGGTGTGCTCAGTCCTACTCTGTTGAACATCCTTATGCAGGAACTTGTGAGCCTTCCCTTTCACAGTGGTACGCAGCTTCTCAACTATGCTGATCTTGCACTCGGAGTGAATGGGAAAGGCAATTTGGAGCGGCAGGCCCAGAGACCTTTAGACTTAATAACGCATTCTTGCAAAGAACTAGGCCTCAAGATCTCCGCCGAGAAATCTCTTGCAACGATGTTCAAGGGGCCAGATCCTGTGAATAGATTACGTATTCAGGATATAGAACATGATTGGACAAGCTCCTACCTATACTTGGGAATCTACATTGGTAAAATGCTGACCTTTCAGAAACAGGCCGAGTATGTCAGATCCCGTGCTGTACTCAGACTCAACGCCATGAGAGGCATGACGAGGCACTGTGCAGGGCGAGCAAAGAAGTACATTGTTTGTACTATATACAAGCTGTGCGCTCGCTTATTGACTACGGTGCACCGGCGCTGGCTCATCTCTTTCCACAGAGCAGGCACAGGATGGAGGTCATACAAAACCAGACGATAAAAACTATGCCTGGGGCCCCCATCTGGACACGCACAGTATGTCTCGGATTTGATGCCCGGCTTCCTTCCCTGGCTGAGAGAGTAAAATACATAAACACCTTCAAAATAGCTACGATTCAGCACCGGCAACCATGACACAAGATCCAACTCTCTTCACGGACTACTCCTGGATTCGTTGTTTTCTACTGCTGTGCGGAAGCTGCTGCCTATACAACTGCTCCTTGAGAAGAGTTGTGACCATTTTGTTGCTGGGTATCATCCACCACCTCCCTGGCGCCCAGATCCGGCCAATGTTTGCATCATGCAGCTACCCACCTCTAAGCGTCTCTGCAGTCAAGACACCCTCAGCAATCATGCTGAGACAAGCATGGCACTGACAGAGGGATGCACATGTGCGGTATATTTCACAGATGGTTCTGTTGACCCCTGACAGGAAGAGAGCAGCAGCTAACATGTATCACTATGGTTACACACAAGTCTTGCGATTCCCTGACCACTGCACGATTCTTCAAGCTGAGCTGGTCACATGCCCTACGACATCGACTTCGACATCTTGACTCCACCTTTGCAATCAGTGCAGAGGACAATGTTCACCTCATCACATCGATTCTGAGCACAATGACAGCCTTAGAAGTTCAGGGTAACAGATCGACATTGAACTGGATCTCCAGCCATGCTGGCATCCGGAGAAATGAGGCGGCAGATGATGCAGCCAAGGCAGCGGCAGATGATGCAGCCAAGGCAGCCACAGATTATCCACATGTTGGGATTACCGTCCCCATCAACCTACGCCAGACCAAACTGGTGGCCACCAGAGCAATGAAACTTATAGGGGAGGTCCTAGGTGATACCCCATCTCAACAGTGGTACCGAGCAGAGACTCAGAGAGAATCCCCTCCAAATGATAGAAGCTGGTCCAAGTGTAGTGTACCGCCATCCATCGGCTTCGTTTCGATTTTCTCACAGCCAAGATGATGGTAGACAATGCAGAATAGGAGATGTGCCAGCACTGCCAGCACATTGTCCAGCTCCCATTAACACGCTATCTCCTGGAGTGCCAAGTTACTGAGACACTCTGCAGGCAACTAGTACTGATCTCCCCTCCCGAAGAAGACCCAGAGAGGACTGCGGCTACCCTAGTGTACCATGGAGTCAACGCCCCAGACAAGCTGTTGCCCGTGATACCGACATATCCTCCTCCTCGCTAGTGTCCACAGTCAGGAGTACATGCATTCATATGCATCTCTGAGTGTACATACATACGTGCATATTGTGTCCAGCATGTGAATGTATGTGATCCAATGTTCATATTACAGACGGCGCTGTCGCTTATGAGACGCACCAGATGAACTGTCCGGAACAGTGCTTGAGCAGCATACGTTGCAACATTGCAGAACCCGTTCTCCGTCGAGAGCCAGAGACGGGTCATCACAAGACCTGTGCCAGGACCCCGGTCTTGGCGAACATTATACATACATACTCTATGTCACCACCAGGGCCAGGATATCCTAGTGAACCTACCTGTACCTGTACCCCTGTGTCACCGGACACACCTTCAGAGAATCTCCTGAGCCAGGAACAGTTCAAGTGGAGTTGAGAGCCACAGTACCTTTGTCATAAGGCTGCCCATCGGGCTGCCCCATCATAGGGCTGCCCCCGCCATAGGGCTGTAAGCGGTACTCCACTTCACACGAAGACGGATCACCGCGCCCTTGTCATAGGGCTGCCCCCGCTATAGGGCTGTAAATGGTACACCACTTGACATGAATGCTCACCGTTCCCCCGCCATAGGGCTGTAAATGGTACATCACTTGTACAAACTCCGACACTCCTTCGGGAGCCACTGTCGGGTCACCACATGGAGAAGACTCGGGCCAGGACCCGTCCTGGCAAACCTACCTGAACCTCTGTGTGTTAGAAGTGATCAAGGTCTCAGGTCCGAAAAGTTTTCTAATAAATGTTTCCTAGTGTTTGCTGATGTGCCTTTTTAAACCAATTTGTCGGTATCTACTACTAACTCAAATGCAGTCCTCCTTTTACTCCTTTTTCTTTTTCTTATCCTTAGACTTTCTCCACTATTACTACGTCTTCTTCTACTAATTAATATTACCTCGCTGCACTTCACTCCCTAACTCTTGTGTCACTACATCTACCCCCTTCCTCTTCTACTACTACTACTACTACTACTACCACTACTACTACTATTACTACTACCACCACCACTACTACTACTACTGCTGCTACTACTACTACTACTACTACTACTACTACTACTACTACTACTACTACTACTAACTACCACCACTACTACTACTACTATACCCTACGGGGTAGCTCAGTGGTGAGAGTCACGCCTCTCAGCACTTGGGTCCAGGGTTCGAAACCCAGCAGAACTAAAAAAAAGAACTACTACTACTACTACTACTACTACTACTACTACTACTACTACTACTACTACCTCTACCACTACTATCTTTACTTCTTTCATATAATTATTACTTGTACCTCCCCTCTACCACCCGTCCCCTCCCCTTCCTCACGTGTGTCTAGTTAATGGTATAAGTCGGACCAAAACGTTGTCGTAAGTTTCAATCTTCTGTGTGAGATGTATCTGTGTATTGAACAAGGTCTTCATTAGAGTGGTCAGCGGTGGTGTTCTGAGAGGTGAGACTGTAAGATCAACACAGTGTGGGTGTCCAGAGAACAAATACACCGTTGAGGTCCTCCAGTCACTCTTCCAGACAAGCGCCAGTGGAAGAAAAAACTGTAGATAGGTAGGTCTAACATAGTGCTAAATATCGATAACAAAGTGTGCCATGAAACAACTAGAATGGCAAATTGTTTTAATTCCTACTACACATCTGTAGCATCAACGCCTAGTAAGTAAACCTTGGCTGCATCAAATACCTTTAACACAGACTATGATAAGTTTATAACATACTATACCAATAAAGGGGTAACCCCAAACAGTTGTCAACTAGCAAGTGTATCACATGACTTCGTGCAAAAAGAACTAAGCAGGTTAAAACCAACTAAGAGCACTGGCCCAGATAACATCCCGTCTAACTTCTAAAAGATGGTGCCTCTGAATTGCCAGTTCCCATTGCTCACATAATAAATTTGTCCATCATCACTAATACCGTACCAGAGTGGTTCAAGGAGGCCAGAGTTACTCCTATCTTCAAGAAAAATAGTAGGTCTGATGTCAGCAACTATAGACCTGTTAGTATACTCAATGTAATATCCAAAATTCTAGAGAGGGCGGTGTACTGTCAAGTAGTTAAGTACCTTAATGACAACAACATTCTTCATAGTTACCAGTGAGGCTTTAGAAAATCTTACTCAACCGACACCTCATTAATTAATCTGATGGATTACATGAGAATTGAAATGTAGATAGGGAACTTCATACGAATGGTAACCTTAGACTTGCAAAAGGCCTTCGATACTGTCAACCACAATATATTATGTAAGAAACTTCAAGCTATCGGCATAGGTTTCGTAAATTGGTTTAAGTCCTATCATAGCAACAAAAACAAATTGTCAAAATCAACAAAACAGAATCAGAACCCCTGCCGATAGCATGTGGAGTTCCCCAAGGTAGTATTCTGGGTCCCTTATTATTCCAATGTTATGTAAGCGACATACCCATCAGTGTCAAGTGCAAACTCCTACTGTATACGGATGACAGTGCTCTGTTAGTGTCAGGTAAAGACCCAAAAGATATAGCTAATGTAATAACACTGGAACTGGAGTCCTGCAGCAAATGGTTATTAGACAACAAACTATCGTTACACCTAGGGAAAACTGAAGCCATTCTCTTTGGCACGAACCATAAACTGAGAAGGGTAAATAATTTTAATGTCCTGTGTAATGGGGAACCCATCACTTCAGTTTCCTCAGTAAAATATCTGGGAATCCCTCTTGACCCATGTATGTCAGGAGAAATGATAAGAAACAGTGTAGTAAAGAAAGCAAATGCCAGACTGAAGTTCCTCTACAGACAAGCACAATATCTACCAACTGAGGCTCGCAAGACCCTATGTCTAGCCCTTATACAGAGTCATATGGACTACGCTTGCTCTTCATGGTACTCTGCCTTGACAAAAAAAACTGAAAGACTGACTTCAAATCACCAAGAACAAAAATGGTAAGATTCATCCTGGACCTGGGTCCAAGAGAGCATGTAGGCCAGAATGAATTACAACAATTGGATATGGAAATATAAACACAAATGCAGTATTGTGTTTATATTTCCATTGTGTCGGTATTTTATACCATTTATTTCCAACAATTGGATATGTTGAATATTGAAGACAGGGTAAAACTGAAGTTAAATCAAGTTTATTGAATTGCTCACAAACAGTGTCCAGAATATCTTGCTGCCAATTTTGTCAAGGTTGGGAACCAAAGCAATCATAGTACTAGGTAGAGAGAGCACAACTTTGTAGTACCCACAGTCAGTGGCCAGGCTTCAAACACCTTTTATTGTACAGCAATAACGGAATGGAACAGATTGCCTGCACATGTCAAAGCCAGTCATAGCATGAACCAGTTCAAGAAGAGAGCCAAAAGGTATCTGATGAATGTAGCGACAGAAAGGGAGGAGAATTATTTTTTAGCTAACACATACGCATATATAAATAACTCATTTTACTTTATTCACAGTATATCTCCTTTATAGTATAATAATAAGATATCATCTCATCTATAGTATAATAATAAGGTATTTAAAGGACCCAATGGAAATAAGTCACTTTGTCTGACTTTTTGGGGTTTTCCCAGGTTCTCTACACATATGCTGCTATGTATGTAACTGTATTTGTGTATACCTGAATAAACTTACTTAGAATTTAGTAGCGGCATGGTACGTGCGTGCACTTGCTA